CCTAGCTTCAAGTTTATAATCTCTGAAACAACAGCAAACGTACTTTGGGGAAATTTAAACTGGAGGATGTTCTGGGAGGCCAGAAGGTTTCAGTTCCTGTCAATAATTATGTAGACTGCAAAATAATCCCAGTGTGTTGTGTGTGCCTCCTGTGCTGTAATCCTTCATATATCTTAGGCCAAGCAGGACAGGAAGAGCATTTCTTGCAAGAAATGCTGATAAGAACAATACAATAGTCAGAAAGCTTGTATTTGAGCCCAGTGCTCAACAGTTAAAGCTGGGTGACAGTTGAATTACTTTATTGTTTAGTGCCATAAATGTAAAGTTAAATTTTGAAGGAAGCTTGCTTAGAGGCGGCGTGAGAGCGGTCCTAAAAGGATGCTAGCAGGAAGCGAACAGATTTGGAATTGGGAAGTTCTGTACTAGTAGTGAAACGACATGCAACTGCTGACTGTGGTGTCCAGTGGTTAGAGACAAGAAGAACAAATCCGCTGAGTTACAGACAGAGTTTTTTCTATTGAAAGTATTAGGCAAATTACTCTGAATTGCAAATTCAATAAAGCAGCAATCTGCTCACAGTGTTTTTAAGGACAAAAATTTTCTGAATAAATAACCCACAATGGATGAGATGTGACACTTGGAAACATGTTCTGGTTTGATAGCAAGCCTCCTTGACAGCTGGTTGAGAGCTTGGAGATTGCAATCTGTAGATATCTACCTCTAATGCTCCCTAAATGATGACATCCAGAATTCTCAGCAGAGAAGTGAACACAGGATGGAATTTTAGAGCGGAAAAGGTCCACAAGAGTGAAGGCTTTTAGACCACCCACTTGGAATGAAATGAAGAATCTGCACTGTCCAATAATCATGACCTATGATAGGAGAGACAGGTCTGGTGATTTCTAGCGGGCACTTGAGACAACACACCTATTGATGACCAGGGCCACCCTCCCTCCCCAGCTGCATAAACACACTGGTTTTGCAGAGAAAGATTACAAAATCATGCTGGTAACTTACTTTCTGGGCTGTACACTTAATAATAATCAAAGCCAAATGTAAATAAAGTCTCTCTGATTAGAGAATTTGCTTCCTATTTATTCCAGTTAAATGTGGATAAAATCCAGGTCATTGTTTTCTGTAATCTACTACCCACCCAGTCAGAGCTGGGAAAGCTTTTTCTGATAGAGGCTTGTTTTTCAGGTCAGGGCTCTGTTTAGTGTCAGCTTCTCCAAATGAAATCAACATTATCACCCATCGTTGGTGTGATTACTTTTATAAGTTGCAAGTGATGTATAGCAGAGGAATGCAGGAAAAACAAGCACAGTAATAAAAGAGATTTTTCAAGTGAAGAAATGCGAGTCAGTTTTCTCCATGGCTGATGTTTTGACTTCCCTCTGTTCTAGCTTATATACTGCTCCTCTATAAAAAATAGAAATTTAAAACTCAGAAGGGTCAAAGATAATAGATTTGTTGTAAATTGTGTGCCAGATAGTAAATTTCTGAGCTTTGCTGTCACTTGCTTTTGAAGTCTGAAAGGAAACGTCAGTGGAAGCAAGACTATTGAGTAACCAGCAACCAACTCAAAATTGCTTGTGACTGTGTTGGATTTGCATTTGATGAGAGTCCGTCGTAACTCAGAATCATGAACACTTTCCCACAAACCATTGTATGTATGTGACCACCTTTTCTTGGTTGTTATTCCCTCTTCAGGAAAAATGTGCAGAGCTTTTGAGGGCGATAGTGTTGCATGCGTTCTCGTAGTCCAGCATACTGATGGTGATGATATTCTTGCAAATCAACGATTGCTCCTGAAATTAGACTAAAGATGAAGTGTGTTTAGGAGGGACACAAGGGGCTCATGTGATCAGAATATGGAATGCTTTGATTCCTTGAAAGTTATCTGGCGGCTAGACAGTGGTACCCATTTCAATTGTTAGCTGTTCCACTACTGTTTCCAATGAACGCATATTTGGGTTATGCAATTTGTTGGAATAAGAGGCTTTAATTTGCTCCACAGTTTCTGATGTTTCCCTGTGTAGAAGCAAAGAATAAATGGACAAGGTGGCTGGACTGGATTTTTACTTAAACTGAGGCTGAAGAGATTGAGTTGAATTTGTCCGATGCTGTTATTAGCATCTGGGTTTCCAGTGTAGTGAAATATTTTGAACTCTAGGCTGCACTTTTTGTCAAGACTTAAAAAATTAATTTGTAGCGTAAGAAAATGAGGCATTTTAATTGTTCAAGTCTGTGATGTTCTCCTGAGTCTTAAAAGACAGAACTCTGTCTGAATCCTATCAAGTTGCTGAAAAGTGCTGTTTTCTCAGCTTTAGAATCTTGATTTTTCCCTTCTTTTTTTTTATGTTTTTGTTATGAAGGAAAGCAACTTTGAAAGAATTGGTTTTTTTTTTTTTAAAGCCTGGATGAGTAGCTGGTTGAACGTTCAGGGACTCTGTAGAATGGATTACTTGACCTTGGCTTTCAATGGTCAAAGTTGCCTGTTCCCAAAGAGAACAAACAATGCAATATAGTCTTGACTTCCTCAGTAACTATGCCATGAACAGCTCTATCACTTCCTGCACTATCTGGATGAGATATTCCCTCGAAGCTGTTAGTGCCAGCTTTGAAAGAATAAAAATTGGCCAGCCTCTGTGTTTCTTTTTACCTGTGTACATCTGGCATATGCAGGCATAATTGGCTGCTCTTTAGATTTTAGTTTAAAGGCAGAGCTAGGAGACTATTCGAGTATGGATGTGGGATTCCTGAAGGTACTTTATTTTCGGCTAATCATCTGTGGTACCAAAAGAAGCATATTAATAGTCAATTTCCAGTTTCTGTTGGACTGTAGAATTTGAGGAAACCAATGAAAATTCATTTATTCAGACAGAACTGAAACTTTAAATGCTTGGCCTTTAAATGCTTTCTTCCCACCGTGTGTATGAAGAGTAGTCCTGCTGA